AGAGATTAAACATGGGAGGATGGGGAGTGGAGGACTTAGGCCTAAAGCAGGAAGGCTTCATTGACACTTTGTGGCCTTCCACCCTCCCGAGTTACCTAGGGTGAGGCCTAGTGACGTCAACACCCCTTTAGGGGCAGCTTTAAACCACATTTTCATTACTGCTGTGGTGCAAAGAGGACTTCACAGGGGCCCAGGATCTGACACCCACTGATATGGAAGCTATTCTTTGAGTCCTATTTCCTATCTATGTATGTGGGATCACCCAGCTCATAGTTCAGGCGTCCTTACAAGGCTGGGCCTCAATGCTAAGCCATTATGGGCAGGGGTGATGGATTCTGCCTAAAAGTGGGGGGGCACGAGGCCCCACCCCTTCTGTCGTCCCACCCCTGCCCCTCCTCTTTCCCCTGAGGCCCTGTCTCCTGGCCAAGCTGTAAGTCAGAGCTGGGGTCCTCCACCTGCCTGGAGTGGAGTGGCCTGAGAGCAGCTCCTGGCCCATGTCCAGGGCAGGTGGAGGGTCCGCGGTTTCCCACAGCTGCCTGTGTGGCTCTTACTCTGATCTGGCTCTGGCTCCCAGCCTGGCCTGGGGGCAGGGCCTCAGGGGCTGAAGAGCCGCAGCCTGGCCATTGTAAGAGCTGCCTGGCAGCTGTGGGGAGCCATCGACCATCCACCTGCCCTGGGTAGGGGGCCCAAGGGGTGGGGACGCAGGCCGGGGGCTATTCTTGCTCCCGCTCCCCCGGCAGGTGGAGGGTCTGCAACTCCCCAGGACTGCTCTTACCCAGGCCAGGCTCCAGCTTCTGGCCTGACTAGGGGGCGGGGTCTCAGGGGGAAGAAGAGGGGAGTGGGCCGGGCCTGGGCAAAAAGTGTGAGGGCCATGGCCCCTTGGGCCCCTCATTCTGCTGCCCCTGATTATGGGTTGTCTTTTCTCTACCTCTTGAGCATTCCTGTGCAGCTTCCCCAACTTCTGCCCCCTGCTTAGCCTGGACTCTGTGTTCCCTTTGTCCCATCCCAGATTCCTAAAACAGAGCAGGGTCCCTATTTCAGAGGTGCAGTCTTTGTTAGCACCAGAGGTTGCAGAGGAGAAGCAAAGCCTCAAAGTCGGGTCCTGGCAGGTGAAACTTGTTTCAGGTACAGAGTAGCAGCCGTGTTAGTCTGTATCCGCAAAAAGAAGAACAGGAGGACTTGTGGCACCTTAGAGACTAACAAATTTATTAGAGCATAAGCTTTCGTGGACTACAGC